GTGCTGCTCGCCGGGCTCGGGAGACCCTTGAGCGGGGTTTCCCGCTGGGTCGTTAGCAAGGGGTGGGGAAAAGGGTTGAAAGCGCTTTTTGCCTCCCCTTCCCCTTGGGTGGGGGGGAATATTGCAGCAGATTTGCTCAATTCCTAGCTGAAAGGACTGTGAAACGTGGAAAAAATAACCTTATTTGTCACCAGTAGCTCGAGGATAAATGATTCCGCCAGTCATCTAGATGCTCCACATAGTGTAAGAACGAGGCGCTGTGCTTTAGGGGTCGGTCACCCCTGCCAGAACCTGCCCCGAGGGTAACAACGGCCGTGTCTAGAACCGATCCCCCCCCTCGAGGGCGATGCCGTGGCCCAGAGCTGCCCCTTAAGGGTGTCGAGACGAACACGGGTCCCCGTGTCCGGTTATGGCACCTCTGAGGCAGCAAGAGGAGATGTGGCTGTGGTGCTTCACTGCCGTACAGGGCCTCTGCGGGGAAAAAAATGGCTTGGTAATGAAGTTCAAAGCATATTCCAAGTGGAATTCCCTTTTCTTTTCACTTTATAGCTGTTAACTGCTTGGAAGTGACACCAGGCGCAGCGCTAGGTGAGGTGTTTGGGTGCTGGCAGGCTGTGTTCCCGCACGTTATCCCTGCCAGCAGCAAACCTTCCCTTTCTGAAAAGAAACCTTTCATAAGGGGAGATAATAACCCGAGAAAGTTGTGCTATAATGCGGTGATGATCTAGGAAACTTGAGAAAGGCACCAATAGGGTCTTATTTGCCGAATGCTTGACTCCCTCTGCAAAAGGAGCAGGCGTGGAATGCAGGTTTTTGAGTGTTTAAATGCAGATTCTCCTGCTATTTTTTTAAATCAGGCTCTTGTGTCTTGCAGATTCTCTCGATCTGAAGATGGCTGCACAGTCAGCACCGAAGGTTGTGCTAAAGAGCACCACCAAGATGTCTCTGAACGAGCGGTGAGGAAGCCAACAGCAGCTTCAGCTCATAAGAAATTTTTCACTTATTTATCACTATCTGGTTTCCAAAAACCAACGTGGTTTCTGCCCTACTTTAACCACACTATAACAAGCAGATGGCTATGCACCTCTGTCTTAAGCTGCAACAAATGTGGTACACAAGGTTAAAAGGGCAATTGTTTTGGAGAGATTTATCCATAGCAGTTAACATTAAGCTATTCGACACGTAAATATGGTGGGATGTGTTATAACAAAAAAGAGAGACCTCGCACCCTCCCTTTTTTCTTCCACATGTTTTTTACATTTATATAGTTGGCGCTGCAGTACGGTAGCATGTTACCCAGGCTGCAGGAGGCTTGCTGCTTTGTCCGAGGCAGACACACGTGCATGTGGTCCAGCCTGTAAGAGGCATTCGGCAGGCCACTGAACAAGCCCAAAGGCCCTTTAACAATGTTTTGGGCCTTGTAAGAGGCAAATGCTTTGCTCCATCTCCATCTCTCTCTCTTCTTGGTGCTGATTTCTTTGTTTCTTCTGTTGAATATCCTTCTGCTCTTCCATGCCCTTGAGCTTTTGTGGTCCTACAGTGGCAACTAACTGCGCTGCTTCAGTTATGTTTCCCTTTCTCACTAATTGCTCTTGGATTAACTACATTAATATTAAGTTAGGGAAAAAGGAACAGTTTGGATGCAGTTCCTGCTCCAGCCAGTGCTCGGGCGAGGTTTAGTCTGAACCAGCACTTGGCTTTTTTCCTGGAGAAGAGGAATAGTGAGGAGCAGTGCAGCCTGTTGTGGTTTGATCAGTCCATATCGTTCATTCTTCAGTGCTTTATTTTGCCATCCTGGGTAGCTCCCAGGACACAGCAGAAAGCTGATGGTTTGCTGCTAAGGAAGCTTACCATCTTATAATATGTTCTAGTCCCTATAGCTCTTAAAGGCAGAAGATCCTTCATGCACCAAAGAAATTGCCAAAAAAATTACATTTTGTTTTTAAGAAGTCCACTCAAGGTGATGGCATTTCTCATGGCACCAGTCTGTCCTCAGGGCAGTGACCTTTATAGAGCCACCTCCTGGCACTGAGTCTTTTAAACCGTTTTCTAAACTCCTTGAGGTTATTTTGGATTTTGCAGTCAGGTTTCAGTTTGCTTTTCTCCTTCGCAGTGTTGTCTCTCATCTATCATGGTCATCTCTGCTTATTGCTTGTTTTCATTCCTTCTTCCATTTCGAAAATCAGTAACCTGAAACTTTTATCACTTCTGAATTAATGCACATCATTTCTGAGTTTCCAGTTCTTGCACACTTGTGGAAAACAAGGAATACATAACTCACATATGACGTGACCTAAGTACCACTCTTTACATAAGGTTCATGGGATCTGGAGATCCAATCTTGAGAACCATGAAATGCCAGTAAATGTGTGTAATAAAGCTTTATTTAAACACCCATTTTATTCGACCTTGAAGCTTTACTAACATGCTGAAGAACAAACAGCCGATGCCGGTGAATATTCGGGCTACCATGCAGCAGCAGCAGCAGCTAGCCAGTGCCAGAAACAGAAGACTGGCCCAGCAGATGGAGAATAGACCTTCTGTCCAGGCTGCTTTGAAGCTTAAACAGGTGAGAGAAAATAACCACATTTTCCTGCAGCCAGCTGATGATGCCCGTTGCCAGCCAATGAAGTTTTGGGATAAGGTGGATTTTTAAAAATGTCCCTGAAATTTAAGGATGAGAGGCATAGAAGGGGCTGACAGAAGATGATTTTTTTCTTCCACTTAAGTGATGCTTTGTAACTTACTGGTTAATATTACTGAATTAATCGTTTTTGTGCTGGCTGTTCATATCTCCTCTCTATTTTTTCAGAGAAATGTTCTCATTCTGAGTTTCTGGATCTGCCGAGTGCTTCATCCCTCAATGTAGCTGCAGTTACAGTTGCTGCAGGTTGTTCCCAGGACGTACTGTCCGCTCGAGGTGGTTGCTCCCACCTGCAACACCAGCCTCTCTTGGTGCCCTCCCTTGGTAGCAGCTGGCTGCAAGGACCAGATGAACAAACTGATTTTGGTTGCTCGCACAAACTAGCATTCGGGGCCCGCTTAATTTAAGGGCTAGTGTAACATTCTCCTTAAAAAGTAGGTCATCATCCCACGTTCTGGTGGTTAGGATTGCAGGGTACTGTGTGGTCCTCATGTTGGCTTTCGCCTCTGGAACAGAAATCAAATGCTTCTGATGTCCTTATCCATAGCTCTGGGCTTGGAGAGGTAGGAGAGGGCGTCGAGGTGGGCAAAACTGCTGTAGCAATAACTAAAAAAACGGTATGGAAGAGACAGGCTGCTTTAATGGAGCTCCTTCACGGTGAGACTGGGAGGGCTGTGGTTTAGAGGTGTGTTTGGTAGCTGGAGCAGAGCAGGATGCTCCCACTTCAGCTAGGCAGAAGGACGCTGGCTCTTGGGTCGTTTCAGTGCAAAGTTTCTCTTTAAACCGCTCTGGTAAGTGGTGGAAACTGAGCTGGATTTGGAGCGTACATGTTCTTTCCAGTTCCATCTGCTGCTAAGCAGGGCCAAAGATGCTAAAATCTGAGCCTGTTGCAGCTGTTGGAGGAGTGAGGGAATGTCCAAGCCCTGCGGCAGTGAAACCTAAATCCTGTAGCAGCTGCAGAAGGCCCTGCTCTGAGGGAGCAGTTCAGCCAGGCTGGTAGAGCTGTCGCAGTTTTAGTGAGCCTTGGACCCTGCAGTGAGAGCAGCCCGTGGTGTTCTGAAGTCATCGCGGTGCGGGATGGCTTCCTCCTGCGGAGCGTCCGCTCTTGGGAAAGCAGGAAAGCTCCCGTGTTCCCCGGCTGGCTGTTGGTCTTTGTGGAAGCCTGGCCAGGAAAGGGCCGCAGCAGCAGGGGATACCCCTGCCCTGGGGAGGCAGGTTGGGCTCCTGCTGCCGTTGGGGTTGTGGCTGCTCTCTAGCTCGGAGGATTACTGGAACTAAAGGAAGAAGCATTACTAGGCTGCCTTGTGGATTAAGTGCTTTGATTGGGACTGGGCAGCGCTGTTAAAAGTGAGAAGGATGCTTCCTTTGGAGTTGCAAGCCTCCGGGAAAGGTCCCTGTTCTCTCACCTTCCCAAAATACTCCTCCTGAAGCCACTTAGATCCTCCTTTTGAGGCCTGGGGAGCTGGTGGAGCAGTGGTGGTCCTGGACGCTCGCAGACCTCCTGCTGGTCTGTGACACCTCTTGCTGCGCTCTCCACATTGCGAGTCTGGGTTTGCTACATGACTTTTTCTCTTCCTCAAAAATCTTTTATTCCAGAAGAGCTTAAAGCAGCGCCTCGGCAAGAGTAACATCCAGGCACGCTTGGGCCGCCCGGCAGGACCGCTCGCTCGCGGAGCCATGGGAGGAAGAGGGATGTCCATGGGGCAGAGGGGGCTGCCCCGCGGAGCCATGCGCGGCGGGCGCGGAGCGCGGGCTCTGCTGCGAGGAGGGATCCCGCTCCGAGGTCAGTGCTGGCCCCAGCCTTCCCGGCATCGCTCCACGCAGCCTCCTACTTCACCATTAATAACGTCTTTGCCTGCCCCGGCTTCCTTCGCTCTTGTAGGTCAGAGCCTGCTTCGGGGAGGACGCGGGATGTCCCCAAGGATGGGCCTGAGAAGAGGTGGCATCAGGGGCCGCGGTGGCCCTGGGAGAGGTGGCCTGGGCCGAGGAGCCATGGGCCGCGGAGGACTCGGTGGCAGAGGTGAGTGCACGAACCGCACGAGTGAGGGCACTGAATGAGGCAGGACGAGTTTTCACTCTTATTTTCGTGTTGTAGGTTAGTACACGTGAGTGCACGCAGACTAAACCCCTCCATCCTTGAAGCAGGGCTCAGTGTAACACTAAAGGAGGCTCCCTTTTCTGGAGTGTTTTAGTGGGCCTGGTGCCCAAGTGACATCCCTGGCTGTTCCCACTGTTGCCAGAGGGGTTTTGAGGAGTGTCCGTGACATCGTCCCTGCTGCAGCTCGCTCTGGAGCTGCTTGATGCCCTGAATAGTGCAGCAGACAGGATTCCCGTGAACTGCACTGCCTTCCCACATCTGAAAGAGCCTCTGTAAAGCCTAAGGCTTAAACTGACTAGTGAGTGCTAGGGAAACTTAGCAGAGGAGAAGACCGAACCGCTGCATGCCAGCGAGCAGTTTTCTTGATGATGATTGAATGTCAGACTTCAAAAAATGTGTTTTTGTTGATAGGAAGCGAGTCCTGGATAAACAAACTTCCTTCTCACCAACAACAGAGAGCGGATCAGAGTGAGCCAGGGAGGGGGCAGCTGCTGCTGCTGCTAGGGTTGTTGATGCTTTGCACAGATGTTTGCTTAGAACAGTAGCCAAGTGCTCTTTCTGTTAGGCCAAAGTTTCTGGTCCTTTGAGATTGGCCAAATCTTTCTAAGAGTTGCAGCCGTCTCCGGGAACCTGCAGCTCCCGTGACGATTTTGGTTGTAGCTTTAGCTGGTTCTTTTTAGCCTGCTGGATCTCTGTGGTCCCTTTCCAGCCTGCTGGAGGTGTAGACTGGAAGCGGCTCAAAACTCAAGGGGGTTGTAGGAAAAGAGGCTCAAAGGTGGCTCCCGGTGACCCCGGTGGCTCTCCCTGCGCGGCGCAGCCGGTGACTGTCCCCTTGTCTTGCCTCGAGGTCGTGGCATGGCCGGCCGAGGAAGAGGGGCCTTCGGAGGCCGCGGCAGAGGCCGGGGCCGAGGCAGAGGATCGGCGCGTCCCGCCCTGACCAAGGAGCAGCTGGACAACCAGTTGGATGCTTACATGTCCAAGACGAAAGGACACCTCGACGCTGAGCTGGATGCTTACATGGCTCAGACAGACCCGGAAACAAACGACTGAAGGTCGCTCCGAAAGACTCTTGTCGCAGTTAGTGTGTATGTCCATACCCGTAAGCTAAACTTGGAACCCCCGATTCGTGCCGCAAGGACGCGCAGGGATAGGGAGCGGCCCGGTTCTACCGAGACCTTAGTGTGTTCCTCTAACATTTTGATACCGTGTGTTGTATGAAACTTCTTCGGTTCTTTTTTATATATATATATTTTTTCCTAAGTACTCCAGGCAAGAACGAGACAGATCTGTTGCAGTTAATCCACTGACATGGGCGCTGGCGCGTGGCGGGCGCTCTCCCCAGGCCCCTTCCCGCGCGCCGTGCTCAGGGTGCCGCACACGGGGTGCAGAGCGCGCGCTGGTGCCCCTCGTGTGACCCAATGGCCCAGTTCTGCGCCGATCATTTTGTTTTGACCCTCCTCAAGCAAATCAACAGCGGGGCTGCCCCGAGGCACCGCGCTCCTCCCTAGGTGCTGCCAAGTTGTCTCGTACCCGAAGTTCCCTCCGTTCACAGCTCGTGTTCTGTTACCAAGTAGTGCAGAGGCCTTGCAGGTTGGAGGCTTCTTGAGGTTGTTTTGGTTTCACTTTAGGTAAAGCTCAAATTCCAGTTCTTTTTAGAGTGGGTGGCACCAGTGGTTTCTGTGTACTGATCTGGGGAAGAGCAACCCTTTATTTAAAACAGTAGGAAGCAGGAACATAGAATTACACCCCAGAAAGCAAATCATGGTAGAACCGTCTCTGTAAAACATGGGGTCCAAAACTCGTTAGCTAATGAATGCTGTTGCCCCCCAGCGTAACCAGGACGGACCCCTCGGATCAGCGGCTCTGCGTGTCACCGTGTCGCCCGCGCTGGTTTGGGGAGCCGCCGGGGCCCGCGCCTCCCCGCTCCTCGCGTTCTCAGTTCAGCCATTCTGTGAACCGTTCCAGTTCAAAGGAATCTTGTATTTCTGGTTTGTTGTAACAAGGGAGAAATAATTGCAAAAACACTGCGGACTCTGCCTTTTCCTTTCCCCCTGGAAATGCTGCAGTGGGGAAGTAGCCCCTTGGGCTGCTGTCCCGGATGGGGTCCCCGGGGCTCAGTCCCTGTGGAGGGGCCGGAGGAAGCCGGACCCCCTCCTGGGAGAGGGGGAGGCGCCTGCTGCAGCCGGGAGCAGCCCCTGTCACCCCTGTCCCGCTGTCACCCCTCCAAGCCGGGATGCGCCCCAGGACTGCCCGGCTCCTCATCATGTCCTTCACACCCCATAGGGCCCACGTGTCGCCTGTCCTCGGCTCAGCCCCATCCTGCCAGGGAAGGGGGGCGGGATCCGGGAAGAGAGCTGAGACTGCCCCACCAGTGAGATGCTAATGAGATGCAAATGTGGTAATGAGGCCACCACTGGATGTTCAGGCAGCGATGGTGTCTGCTTGGGGGAGTCTAGAGGGGTGTTGCTGTTCCAGCCTGGGAGGGAGGAGAGGCTCCTGAGCTGCTAAGGAGATGCAAATTCTATGTTAATGAGGCAAGAACTGGCTCTTCAGAAGCTCCAAGCTGTGTGTGGGGGAACTGGTGCACGTGGAGGGGCGGGGCTAGGGGCAGTGGGGGTGGAGGC